GGACACAGGCTGCCGAGTTCTAAGAGAGGAGGGGAAGACGTGGGTCTAAGTAAAGTCTAAAATGGGGACCAGCAGTTAGCGTAATGACTATGTTGCTGGACTCCCACGTAATCGACCGCAGTTCGAGTCCCGGACCCGGTGGCTTAAATTCATGCTGGGCGAGTGTGCGTGTGTCCCCAAGATCCCGAGAGGAGAATGGAGGAGAAGGGACTGCGGTGTGACCATCCCCCTGGGGGGTGATTTCTCGCTTTCTATCTGTCTCTCTCTCTCTGTCTGGCGAGCACGCGTGCCCTATAGCAAAAACCTCTTCAAAAAAAAAAAAGGAAAGTCTAAAATGAACCTGAATTTCTGCACATTTTCCCTCACCCTTGGAAGCAGAGCTCAGGATAATGGAAGACAGCAAGAGAGCCAGTCCCTCTGCCCCAAACCCCTAGCAATGTCCAGCCTCAGGAGCACACGGGGCCTTGGGGGGCCTGGTTCCTCCTCATACAACAGGGTTAAGGTCACGTTCTTCCACTATCCAATGCCCACCCGGGTTCTCTTAATATCAGCACTCCTTTTCTGCCCTTGCCTAATCCAGGTTAAAATGCCATCATCCTGATGGTGCTAAAATTGTGAATTGAAGCTTTAGGGAGACAACTGGATAGAAAAGCCTGGAGGCCAGCCAGTGGCATGGTCACGGCCCTGGATCCCACATGGTAACCATGCTGTTCGAGTCTGGGACCTGGCGGCCTGAAAAATACACTAGGTGCCAAATCTCAGACCCGGTGGCTTGCAAAACACGCTAGGCACATGTGTATGTGCGCCCAAAATCCCGACAGGGGAATGGAGAAGGAATTGTGGCATGGCCTTCCTCCCTGGGGGTGGGGGTGCGCTCTCTCTCGCTCTCACTCTCTCTGGCAGACATGCACACCCTGTAGCGAATTATTTAGGAAAGAAGAAAGAAAAGAAAGAAGAAAGGAAAGGAAGGAGGAAGGGAGGGAGGGAGGGAGGGAGGGAAGCAGAGAGAGAAAGCCTTGGACACACCAAAGTAATTAATAGTCACGATTTATCTGGTCTCTTCTTGTGACTTCAGTAACTGAGTGATAAGGAGTGAGGACCTCCTGTCCACTCTGCCTCTCCAGCCCACCTGCAGGGCCCAGGGTTATCCTAAAACATATGCCTGGCCCCACCCGCAGCCCCATCTGCTGGGACACCTGCAAAGGCAGCCACCCGTGGATCGTGGCCTGACTCTTGCACAACTCTCCACGCTCGGCCCAGAAGCAGTGGTCTCCACTAGGGACACTTTGCACCCCCAGGGACATTTGCGTTACCTGGAGATGTTCTTGGTTGTCACAAGGGAGGGTGTCACCGGCATCTAATGGGTAGAGTCCAGAGAAGCTGCTGAACACCCCATGGAGCACAGGAAATGAACCAGAGCAGAGGTTGGGCCGTGGCCACACCCCATGGGAGGGTGCTTTCTCCCCTCCCTCGGTGTCTCCCCACCGTTGTTCTCTGTTGGGCTCATGTGCCCTCTGACAAGTTTATTTTTTTAACAAGAAAGACAGATCGTGGAGATGTCATAGAGGTTAAGGCAACTGGTCTGACAGGGTTACCTCTGAGGTTTGGGTCCCAGACCCAGCAGCTTGAAAACCACCCTGGAGTCATCTGATTGTCAGGAGCAAAGTGTGCTCTTTCATTCTTCAGAACAGTAATCAATGGAACAGCCCCACAGCAGCCTGTGCTAGCAGGCTCCGCAGGCTCCTTGCAGTACTAACAGGAGGTAGCTACGTGCCTACACGGATGCCTGCGTTTCCATAAACAATGGGAGGATAAATCAAAAACTCATTTTTGAAAATTGTTGTTTTACAGAAAGCAGGCAACAGAGTGAAGGATGAAAACTTACAGCTCGCCGAATATAGCTGGTTTTATAGTTTCGACTTTGAAACTATTTATGTAAATGTTTTATAAAATTACACAAAGGGGAAAAAGTATAGAAATGTCTAAGAATGGAAAACAAACCTCTTTACAAAGCTGTTGGCATACCACACAGATAATTCATCTCAACAGACTCTAGAAGACTGTATTCCTTGAGTGGAATTAACCCAGTAGAGACCAGCATTCTCTGCGGGGCGTGCGCTGGGTCCCACCGTGTAGCTGAGTCACTGATGGAGCGGGACTCGGGGCGACCTGGTAATCGGCACCTCCGACATTCCTCACTGGTCTGGAACAATGATAAAACGCCTGCCATAGAGCCAGCTGTGTGGTTAAGGAAGCCAGGTCCCATACGGCGGAGCAAACAGTTCACATCCAGCCCTGGTGGCTTGGAAAACACATCAGGCCTCTGTGGTGTGCACGCCCACATTTCCAACAGGATGGAAATCGGAGAAAGGACTGGGACGTGACCTCGCGCCGATGGGGGGATGCTTTCTCCCCATGAGCCCTATGACAATTTTCTCTATAATTTGTAAAGAAAAAAGTTACAATACTGGCATTGTTTCTGTTTATGACAATGCAGGTAAATTATACTGTCATCGGAAACCCAAGTAGTAGCCCTGCCATGGTGGCATGCTGGTAGAGATGTCACTGTCCTGGAGGTTGAGACCACAAGGGAAGCCGGGTTTGATTCCTGACGCACCATAAACACTGGCTATGGTGGCACCACCTATAG